TTAATGAAAGAAGTTTCGCTGTTTCGACTTTCGAGAGACCTATGTCGATATAGTAGAGTCCTGTTCCATCCCCCCAATTCCTGTAATAGTAAACTGGATGAACTTTGGATTAGATTAACAGTCTCAAGCAAAGGGGGGACGGAAAGAAGTCTGGTTTATCTCCGACTCTTAACAACTAAATTCTGCCCTTCTCTTCCCCTCCTCTAACCTTCCGAAGTTCAATTAACGAACGAAGAGGGGTTAATAACACTGCAGAACGGACTTGCAATATAAAGTATAATAAAACCTGCTCCATTATCGACACTCACGACTGTAATTCTTTATTCTACTAACAACTTTTAATGGCGACTGTGCAGTTATTAGAGGCGTGGTTCTGAACCTTACGGCAGACACGATTTATATGACAGAAGAACGTAATATTGCCAAGTATCTTACAGATAAGATTGTATTTGACGGGTGTGGGTGAACTTCGAGACAAACCACGACAAAGGATTAGGAAATTGACGACGAAACATGGTTCTGAAACGGCGAATAAGCGACAGGCTTCTGGAAAAAACTTAAAACGACAGGGCGTCGACTGGCAGAAGGAAGTCGATCATGGCGACTCTTAGCGTCGAGACGCCGACGCAGCATTCAAGATTAAGGTAACAGCAGCGTCTGGACGCTATACAAAAATTATGAAGAAATCAACACTAAGACGCCAAACGTCACCGATAGTGTTCAAGATTCAGCATAAAACGTCCGAGGACACAATTTAATATTGGAAAACCGTCGCGGACTCAGAATTATAAAATTCGTCGTGAGCTCGAGCATGGCCAGATTATGCTTCCCCCCCCCCCCCCCCCCCCCCCCCCCCCCCGTGCTTTTGCCTTTGGTGAAGACATCGGTTTCAACAACCACAGACGACCCACCACTCGGAAAAACTGTAATTTTCCTAAACACCTCTGGTAAGCTGTTACCAGGAACACCTTGCTAATTTTTAATATAGAAATGAATTCTTAAATACTATTTAAACATTGAGAATTAATAACACAACAGTAACAGAAGGCCTTGAAAATAACAGCTGAAAATGGGGTTAAAACACGCGTCAAACGACCAAACTCCTGCCACGCCACTGATCACAAACAAATACTAACTGTAGAAACGTATACGTGTCGCAAGATATCTTCGAGCTTCGTCGACAAATACAAAATATCCCAAAAAGATTCATACAGACAAGTTTAATATTCAGTATTATAACGTGAATACATCATTTTGGGACACCCTATACCAGCCAGACTACCAGAAGGGCGACAGTGCATGAGGCGTCTTGGTTCCCTTTGTCCCTTCCATGCACTCTTTTTCCCTCTTGCTGTGATGTAGCTCAGGCTCGCAGATATTTTACGTCAAGTATAACTACGTTACGTAAAAGGAGAGTGGCCTAGAAATACAGCAATTCATCAAATAATCGATTAACGCTTTTCAATATGCGATTAACCAATATGATTGGGTAAATATCGAAATTAAACGAAAATATCGACTTCGTCTCGGGATCTGTTTAAATTTTAAACACGACTTTTAAACTTTAAAAGTCGTAATAACAGCAAATAATCACAGATCGGTTTCAAAACACGTAAATATTGAGGCATAGAAGCGGATGACACCGTGAACAATACACCGATTCGATATAATTCTAATCAACTTACTAAGTAACTCGTATTTAGGACGTGTTACTTAGGTATTCCGAATAAATCATCTATAAAAGTTATGTACCTTAAAGTGTAAATATTTGCTATGAATGTTGGGTTTTGGGGGATTTTATGACAAAGGGACTTACTGGACAGTAGGGCGATTTGGAGAACAGCGGCGAATTTCTCCTACCTTGAGACAGGAACACGCAACTGTTGGCTCCGGTAGTACCTGCCGGTCGGCCATAATCCGGATCTTCCAAGTTGTCAGCATCCCCAGGGCCAGAGCTCAGGCTGTAGTTGACTGAGCCCCCTGATCTGCCCCTTAGGGTCGCGTGCCCCTGTAGGGGGTGATGAAGAGACGGCCCCCTCGGGGGTACCTCCGGAGGTGCAGGTTCGGGCGGAGAATCGTCAGCTAAGTCTGCAGGACAAAACAAAATATTTTGGAATTTTGAACTGACTTAACGATTCAACAGGACGAAGGAAAATATATTCCATTCGCAGTTAAAGGTTCGAATTGGTTTCGAGTTCTTCTGTCATCAAAAAATGTTATTTTTGTTCCTTTAAGTTTACATCATTTATTAAAACAAAGTGTTGCTTAATTTTGTACAACTTGAAACGTGTTAAATTAATCGCGTGTGAATGAATACTGAAAAAGCTACTAGAATATATGTGATTAAAAAATGGCACTGGCTTAATCTACTTCAAATGACATCAAAATAATTACTCCACATGGTTAATTCACGTTTCATCAACTTCTGAGTGCTAAAATTCATTGTGGACATTCCTATGGATATATTTCTAATCTCGCCGTTTTCGAAAAAAAAAAATATATATATATATACACAAAATGCATGATTACAAGTGGAACGTAAATTAAGAATCGAGCTCTAAGCTTAGTATAAGGCGTCTCTTCAACGAATTCCTAAAATCTTCGTGATAAAACTTTTGATCCGGTGACCACATCCGGCCCAAGACAACTTTTAACCACGCCAACGAAATTATCTCTGTTAATTCGTTATTATCCGCTAAAAGCTAATTTATTTTCACTGCTCTGACGCATAAGAAAAAAATCGAGATTTCTATCTCGTCTGCGGCTTTACGTACAAGTTCCACACTTGATATCGACTTTAAAATCCTACCACGAAATTTAAGTTTTCCGGGTAAAAATTATCGAAATATTAAAATATTTATACACATATTAAGTAATTTATTAAAGTGAACTAAGGATTGTTTCAGGCATTCTTAACATAACACTAATTCTAGATTATCTATAATTAAAACTAAGGAATGCTCATATACGAGGTGCGATCAGAAAGTTTAGAGACTGTGTCAATAGAGGGCGAACCGGACGTAGGACGAGCTTCTGCCGCTAGGGGGTGCGGCCTACATTCATAGTGACTCAGTGTGCCAGCCGGCATCATCGAATTAGCATTTGTTTCT